GCCTGAATTTTTCCCGGCAAAACAGTCGGTAATCACGTTGTTGGTGTACTTCAAAGGATGGCGTTCTACCGACGCGGGAGCTGTATTCTCGCCTCGCATAGTAATTCGATGCGGCAGTTTGGACAGCGAAAGCCAAGCCGCTAAGCCTAAAGATCTACACGACCACGTATGAAACCAATATTAGGGTCACGAGGTTTGAAGGGCATCCGTTGTAACACTATCTTTACGTGCACGTAGTTTGCATAGGGACATGCTAACGTCGCAGCCAAAGCTGGCGTAGAGATCAAAATGCCGGGAGCCCTATAGAAGTGACGCGCGCAATACTAGCGGCACCGAACTATAATCAGCGCTAGATCACAAAGGCGGCAGCTCAGACAGAACGCAAACCCTACAAGCCGACGGTGGCCCTCCTCGTGAACCTGAAAAGGGGCTTTAGGAAACCAGAGCACACGCAGTTATCGCCTGTTTTCTCCTTTTTCTTGAACCGCCTGAAACTGCGTGGAGCACTGGAAGAACCAGAAGTGGAGGGGACAGGAACAGAAAGAGAGAAGGCGTCGTCTTGGTTCAAATGGTAAATCTACACCAGCTCACCTGCGCCATCACAGTCTTATTGTTTTCTCCTGGTGCACTTTTTTTTCCCTAGGAACTCCTTGCCACATGCTTAGACTTACTCTGTACGTTGCTTCACAGAAAAGCTAATAACGCATTCTCTTTCCTTCTTTCTTTCTACTGTCATGCATTTGGGAGGTCGCGGAGTATCGTGATCGTCATCAAACAAGACAACGCGCGCGCAGCGGCCATAAACCAACGGTTGTTGCCAGTCTCGTGTACTTGCGTCTTGACAGAACGTCTTCAGTCACGGTAGCGACTTGCAGCGTCCTTAAATTATTTTTTTTGCTATCTTAGTAAACACAAAAAGAAGATAGCAAGGCAGCTAAATGTTTGCAGTGTGTAGATCTGGATGTCAATTCTCCGAAGAGGATCGGACAAAATCCTCTCGTTCGTGCATTCTCTATTTGTAGCCACGTTCGAAATTGACCGGTTTTCCTGCACTCGTCGGAATTATTGCAGCACAGGTGAGTGCTTCGCGGAATTCGTCAGTCTGGTATGAAGAGGGACAAAAGACGGACTTCTCCAAAAGCCCTCCTGCCAACGCCGGCTATAATAGTGCGCTTCTATATCTTTACTCGTTATTTATTTTTTACTTTATTTAACTTCATGTTTTTTTATATAATTTGAATAGAATGAGTTATTACAAATATTTTTAATCCTAACGGACGTCTTGCTGGAAGGGCCAGTGAAGTAGCAGGTTTACCTTGGTTAGCCGGTTATACAATCGTCATGAATAGCAGTGTAATAAGCTTTGTCGCTCAACCATTCCTACTTCATCGCGAATATACGTATGAATGTTCGCATGTGATTTGCACCACTGCACTTGCTTTTCTACCACCTTCTGTAAAAAAATTATAGTAACGATTACAAGTTTTCTTCCCGCTTTTGTGAAAAAAGTTCAGCTATAGCTCTATCGAACTTGTCATTTTAAAAGGCAAACCAGGCTTATTGATAAAATTAATAAAAAGGACGAGCAACGAGGGTATTGTTTTAATTGGCAGAATACTTTACATGTGCCCGATGCCCGAATACAGCACATACAGCACAAAAAAGATTTCTAGTCATAAAATACACGGGAGAAAAAAATAAGCTCGTCTGTGGCATTGGGAACAAATGCCGGCGTGGAAGGTACAACTTGCAGCGCTGTAACTTTGAAGGAAACAAAACGACGAAACATATTTTTCATGAATAAACGCAAGAATATGGTGGAGAACTATCACTATGAATTTCAGCAAAAACGAAGATTTTTTTTATTCCATTATATATATTTTTTTTTTTTTTGCTTTTTAATTTAGAACAAGTTTGGAGCAACATAAAATTTTCAATCGTTGAGATAAAGCAATGATTTATATATCATTCGAAATAACGTTTTAATAACAATACATTACATACATTTTAATGTCGTAGTTATGCAACTTTTGCAGATAACGGCTTTGGCATCTAGTGACGAAACGTCAAAGGAGACATGTTTGCGCATTTTTGACGCAAAATTTACGACCTCAACAATACTGTACATATACCATTCTATGATGTCCATGATAAGTGCAAAATAGTTGAGATTTTTGATTGGTGCAGTTTGCATAGAAGGTGTCACCAAACATGGCAAAAACGAAAACTTCAAAAATCAAATACGCCGTTCTTGCGCGCCCAAAACGTTTTCTTTCCCTTTAAATATTGCGTTTCTCGCTAAATCTTTTTTGATCACGTTCCCTACATATGTTGAGCAGTAACATATAAAATAAATTAACAAAAACACAACATACGTCCGGACTCGCGTGCAAGATCTTAATTGAGCAGTTCCACAAGCAGCACGCAAAACGGTTATTACTCCGCAACAAAACCGTTATGTCCTTGCGAGTAGAAACATATGGTACCGTTCGTCCTCGTTCTCCATGCGTCTGCTTCTTTCTTTAAGTTTAGCGCTACGATGTATGTTTGAATAGGGCTTAAAGGGGTACTCCGGCGATTTGTTTAGTTTCCCCAACTCACTACTTTTTTCTGAATCCCCGACTTTCACCCTTTCCGCTATGCTATATAGTATCGCAAAATTGATAATAGTTCTCGTGAAATCGGCAATTGAAACTGGTGCAAAAAACAACATTCAAATAGATTCGCACTTTTCCGTGCCGTAACGTCAGTGGGAGGCAAAGCCATAAAAAGCTAGACTATGCCGACTATTTGTTCCGTGCTGGTTCGCGGGTACCGAAGCGGGCTTCTAAAGGATTCATTTGACACCATGAAACTTTTTGGAATCAGTTGGGAACAAAGTCTACAGTTCATAGAGTGAACCCCTGCCTTAGACTGGCGTCATGTTTTCGTAGGGACTTTTAGTTTCAAACTAAAAGTCCCCAGTAGGAACTTTTAGTTTGAAAAACACGATGAAGACCAACATTGTAAATTCAACCGCTAGCCTGAAGTCTTTAACGTGCACCACGCAGTAGTGCACGTTAAGGACCCCAGGCTAGCGGTTGTACTGCACTGGCTAAATTGCTCATCTACAGCGTGTGACTCGTCGCAACTTTAATGGCAGACCAACTACACGCTGTATAAATATCACCACAACCCCAATTATTATTGTAAATTCAATAACTTCGCAGAAAAAAAAATAATATTTTGACCTAATATAGACCCTTTCCGAAATTCAGTCTGGCCACTTTGATCGCTATTATCATCTGTGGAAAGGCATCTGTGCCATACCAATGGCGGCCTTCTTGTGACTGATAAAAGAAGATGTTGGAGATGCTCCTAGGCGGATCTTGCGAGGCCTGGGGTGCTATGTTGCGCTTTTTGGACTTCCAGGAGACTAGGGAGAAGGAAGTGATGTCAACGACTAGAGCAAACGCAGATTGGATGTTGACAGAAGAAAACAAAATCAACATCCAAACTGCATTTGCTGCGTTGTTGACGTCACTTCCTTCTCCCTAGTCTCCTGGGAGTCCAAAAAGCGCAACATAGCACCCCTGTACATCCGGGGGGTCAGTACGACGCGACGTAGGAATGGAACGCAAGAGCTACGTAAGCGTTTATTTCTAATAACTCAGATTCAGTTAATCTGTGTGCGGCACACAATCTGCATTGAATCACTTTGGTGTATAGAATTTTTTCGAAGAAGCTGAGTGGGCTGGAGCTTTGTTCTGAATGCAGGTTCTTGGTCACCGTCGAACTGAAAGTGATCGAGAAGGAACTCACTGAACAATTCCTCGCGTGCTGTTGACTTGCGAAAGTGACGGTGCCGATACAAGTTCATTTCCGCCATTGATATGGCAAAACCTAAACTGCTTTACAAACCACAAGATGGCACTGAATTTCGGAAAGGGTCTATTGGGGGGACAATTTCAGCGATGTGTTTTGGTGTGTTTAGCACATTTTCAGGCAAATCGGGGACAATTAAGAGATCGCCAGAGTTCCCCTTAAGAACAGACATAATTTATCAACTGAGTTACTTTTTATTTTACTGTTATATGTTAGGTGCATATCCTCCAACTTACCATTTTCTTTTTTTAGTGCAGAAATAACTTACACATAGCCTAACTGTTATTTTCCGCCCAAACGTAGCGCTGGCGGCCAGAACCACATGCCGGAGTTTCAGATGAAACCGTCAGCTTATTCAAGATTAATGAGTGATTTTCCAAAATTTTCAATGGGAAAATGGCGGCCGAAGAAGCTCTCGAATGCATGTAGCTGAATGCACCCAGGTACCGAAAGTGGGTGAATGGTGCCCATTAAAATTTTCAAAAAGTCACTCATAACCTTTGATGAGAGGACAGTTATTTATGAAACTTTGGCACCTGGTTCCCAGCTACAGTTTAGCGGAGAATGAGCATTCAGCGATGCGTAAATTATTTTTCAGGTGAAAAAGAAGAAAGAAAAACCTAAATTCTTTGAAGAAACACGTTGTACACCTTTTTAACGCTTATCTCTCAGTTGAAATATGCTCAGTCATTACGCTGCGGACGCATTTGTCCTGGTGTCTACAATTCTGCACAGAGCTGCTGCCCGTGTTCAGGAGGCATACGAAGCCATTTACACAAAGGTAACAGCGCGCAGAAGGCGATTACTAGAATGGTCTATAGACCAACTCAGTCCTCTGACGTATCGCCACTGCGGTGGCGCTGCTGTCAGCACTGCGCATGTACAGATGCTTCTCCTCGGACATCTCTGGTTTCCACGCACGCGCAATGTCCACGTTCGGTGTGGGCAAATATGGCTGGTTTATAAACAATGTGTTGGTCGATATGGTCAGCCGGAGTGTTCTCGATTCCCGCACATGCGCATAAGAGTCGAAACATAACGTTGGAAGTCCGAACGAGCCAAAGCAGGTAGAACTTGGCCCTCGTAAGATTAGCGACGTCACTCGTCGCTAGACAAGATACCTGCCACAACCCCTCCTAGTCGGTCTTGGTAGGGTTGGTGACGGGAGCCTCCTTGACGCAGCCCATGAAGACGACAGCGAAGGGGTCGCGGTGCAGGAGCACGAAGACGAAAGGCCGGTCCAGCGTGAACTCTATCGCCCCGCTGGCCGAGGACACCAGGACGTCCAGGTCGGCTGAAGGCCGGGGCGCCTCGGAGCCGCGCTCGTCCAACTGCAGGGTCAGGGGTATACGCTGCCTGGAACGCAGCTTCGACTGGTCTGTTTAGCATCGTGTCCCGCCAATGCGCCCAAAGTGGTTCCGAAAGGGGTAACGAATAATGTCACAAGAGACGCGTAAGAGTTCCTAGATTTCAGAGTGTTTTTAACGGCTCGGTTGGGGTCACATGGTTTATGAATTGTGTTTGCAAAACCGGGGATGCAAGGAGGCGACGAAAGTGTTGACCGTCTGCAAGCCTCTCCGCCCGCTTTCCTTCTCGCCACGCAAAAACGCCACGCATGCGCACTTGCGAGCAATGTGCGCAACAGGCGTCCGGGACTTTAAATTGCAAACGCTTTCCGTGGTTTGAGTTATTCCCTCTCTGATAAATGTAGGCTTTCTATGTCATGTTGTAAGATGACGCCATCCTAGCGGTCAATTGTAAAAGTTACGGGAAAAAGAACGAGTTAACGTTAGTGTCGCTGTTGTTGTGGCGTCCTAACTCATTGCTGCAGAAGCTTCCGTGGCGTGTCGAGCTGCGAGCGAGTCACGGCACAGGAAAGGCGTCTGCCGCATTCGTCTCTGCTGATGTGCTACAGCCACTATCGTTGCAGAAAGCAACGTGACACTTCTACGACGTCGTCAGGCGGTGTTCGAGGGACCATGCTTGTGGACTCTGTAGACACACCAGTCGGAGACGCGCTCGCCCCGAGCTTCATAATCAAGGAGAACGGAACGAGAACATTTTGTAGCAGCATTTGAGCCGTCAAATGCAGAGTTGCTTTGGATGAGGAACGCAGTCAACGCTGACGTCGCCTCGGCCTTTCCACATGTACGCCTGTCGTTCTCTGTCAGCTCCATTGGCCACCTTCCCACCATCTACACGTGTGTGAACAAGCGATGAGAAGCCCCACGCGACGCTTCGTCGCATCAATCTTCGCTTCATCGCCTCGGGCGGCGCTTCGAAGAGGCGCGGCGGCGCATGCCAGGAAGGCCGAGACTCAACGTGAGCGTCGGTTGTGTTTCTCGTCAAATGCAATAATACTTTTCCACGTGCAGACGACACGAAGCAGTGAAAGCCCCAAGTGCGATTAGTGTCCGGCGGAAGGGGCTTTGCGCCAAGTCTCCGATTGGCGCCTACCATAGTTCGAGCCTACGCCGCTGCGTGAGGAAAGGTTGTGCATGTGCCAAACCCATCTTGAGAAATGCCCCTTCTTCATAGGCCAGCCTGATCGAGATGTCATATAAGAACTTTACTATTTATCCTGAACTGACCGTGAGGCTGACCCTCTGGACAAGGAGGGAGCAGGACAGGGGTCTGTTGGCGGCGATGCCCAGCAGTGCCGTCGCGTCGCTGAAGAGGCTCGTGAGGCCGAGTTCCTTGAGCACCTGGCTCATCTCGCATGTCTTGCGCAGGCGCAGTCTCGGGATGGTCAGGGACACTGAGCCCTTGTGGCGCAGCGCCTTGAGGAGCCTGTCCAGATGGATCGGCGCGAGCCCACTCACGAGGGCGTTGATGCCGGTCGGGGAGTTGGGCTTCAGGAGTACCAGACTGCTTCCTACGTCCTGCAAGTCCGGTGGCAAGGTAATGGGGCAGTTTAACGGGCAGTCTAGAGAAAAACCGTATGTCACTCATTTTTTGTTTTGCTGGGGTGAACTACATCAGCATTCATTTCGTATCATCAAATATCTTGTATTTGATGTGCGGTTCAAGTTACACTGCTCAAATTCTATCTGTCGTCATAATTCCAGTCTTGCCGAAAAGATGGCTTTCAGTTTAAAACAAAATATCCCAAAAATCGCGGCTGTAGTTACACTGATTATCGACAAAATGCGTTAGAATTTAGCGCACGCGTTCCGACTCACTGAAGGACAGCAACGGTTACGGGGTTCGTTTCCTTACACTTTCCTACCGCTACGTGACGACCAGAATTTTCTTCGCCGTGACGTCGCGTGCTGTAATCCTGGTTACTTATCATCTGCCTCCAACTACAAGATCGACGGTGCGTCTGAAAAGCACGATGGAAGCTTAGAGTTATCGTGTTTTTAAACCAACACCGTCTTAGTAGGCAGTCTAATAATACTCTTATTTACGTCGACGAAAGCACAGGATATGATCAAGATAGTGATACTCGGTGTTTTGGCCCGAATAAATAAACCACGCATAGCAGAGAGCTGAAATTCCTAGACAAAGTGACGCTGGTGGTGGTGATAAAATGCAAAAATTTTACGTATGACGTTAGCTGGGTGAAAAGATACAGAAGAAAAACAAAAATTATCTACGAGCCGACGTCCAGCTAAGTGTAATTGGCATCGTACCAATGTTTGAGATTGCGGGTGCCTGTAGCATTTATTTCAATGAAAAAAACTTCTCAGTAAGAAAGACAATATTGTTTTCTTTCTTGCTGACAACGTTTTTCGCTGACATAATTGGTGCACCCGCCCAGAATCTCATATGATAAATATTTGGCTTGGGTGGATATCGGCTCATAGAGAATTTTTTGTCTCCTTCGTATCTTTTGATTGAGGTAATCTCATGTGCTCAAACTTTCACATTTCATCACCGCCGCTAGCGTCACGATCTCAAGAAGTTTCAGCTTCCTGAGATGCGTAGTTTACTTATGCAGGCCGAACAGTCCGGGTTTAGTTTCTCGGTTTCACCCTGTAGAATTAAGTCTACATCATAGTCGGCGTTTGGCCAATCGTGAAAAGCCGACCACCGCGACGCGTTTTTGTCGCGCACGTCGCCAATAGGTTGGAGAAGCTGCCCCCTTTCGCTCCGCACCTTGTAGGGCAGTTCCACAGCGGCCGTGTCAAGCTCCGGGTAGACGCAGGACCGGAACACGCCGTTGGTGACCATCATATCTACCATGTGCTTGTCCCCGTGGACGTCGGTGAAGTCCCGCCTCACGTTGTCCTCGCGGACGAACTGGAAGTCCCAGAGGGCCCTGAAGTGCAGCGCCTGCACCACCACCAGCTGCGTGTTGCTGTTCACCCAGGCCCCGTTGAGCACGTCCACGGCGTTTGTCAGGTGCTGGATCCGCTCGTTGATCTCCGCCGTCGCCGCTTGGGGGTGCGTCGAGAAGGGGGCCTCTCGGAGAGACGCCTCGTAAAACCTTCCGAAGAGAAAGGGGGACCAGAGACGTGTGACTGTCATTTTAATATTGTGGAATTGGTTATTGAGTTCCATTGTACAGAGTGTCTTCTTTTCGTGGCATTAAGGCGTTTGCTACATGTTAATATTAGTATGATAAGAAATACGACTCATTTATATAAAAAAAAATAAGAATATAACATCCCGTGTCTGCCAATGACAAGAATGTAATGCTGCATGGCAGTGGCTTATCGAGGTCAGTGAGCCACTGACATGCTCAAAAGGGCGACAAGCATCGTGCCGTCTTACTTGTTGATGAATGAGAGGTACTCTGGCACGACCTGGTACTGCTTGTCCACGTAAGACACGTTGGCCATTTTCAGCCTGATATTGGGCGCCGCGTTTCGCAGGCAGATCAGCAGCTCGTGGAACAAGGTTGGGGAGTCGGAGCTATGCAAGTGCAGAAGCTGAACCACCTGCGTAGAGAGGGCGCCAGTATCGAGCCACTAGTCGAATGACCAGTTGGCATACTCTCGCTTAAATGTCTGAGTTATTGAAACGTTTTTCGGTGCTCGAGGACATTGCAGTGTACACCAGGAGGTTTACAAGTGACAAAGCTGCCCGACCTATGAACGTTCACGGCATCATCAGCTTAAACTACAAACTTGAACGCTAATCGATGAAGTTTGTGAAGGAAAGACGGGGAAAGCGTGCACTGCTGCACTTCCCGTGACATCACGGACTCACACCGGTAGATCAACCGCCGAATTCACAAACCTCACTTTAATTGAGGGGCCCCTCCACTTCCCCAAAGAAGGCGCAAGGGCCAGCGCTGGCCAATCGCAACGGCGGATCCGTCGTCGCGATTGGCCAGCGCCGGCCCTCGCGACGCTGAGCGCGAACCTTCGAGGGCATACATGTTGCACCATCGAATTTAGCTATCTCGTCAAGAACAAAAGAAAATGACCACCACCGTGATGTGATGACGTCACATGCAAGCGATATATTTTGTTTCAACTGTAACCAAGGTTACTAAATTAGGTCAGTTGTGGACTCCCGCAAAGGGGGGTACCTCCCCTCATTCACTTCAGTCCACCTCTCGTAAAGCCCTTTCATACTTTAAAAGTAGCCCAAGGAGCGCCGATGCAAGAGGCACGTGCAACGTGCAGCCCTTAGGAAGACCATGGCGGCACAACGCGCCACTGAGCTAGATATCAGGCGCTATGTTCTTCCCAGAAGTGGCACGAGGCACGCGTTTCGAGCATTCCCATAACAATGAATGGCGTCACTTTTCCCAGGATCACCGTGCCCAGGACCCAGGCTTCAACCTCCCATCGTTTGAAGCGCCATCTAGATTTTGTTCCAAAACTGTCTGTTCTATGGAGCTCATTGAGTACGGTAAAACGCCACCTACACGCTGTCCTTCGAAACATACATATTCCACAGAACACACAGCACTTACCGTACAGCCGTCCGACACGTAGAACGACGGGAGGCGAGCCGTGGGGCTAGAAGGGGGGGGGGGGGGGGGGGGTACATTTCGTGCAAGCAGCGCCTATGGGAAATTCCGTAACTGGGCTAATCTAGGGACGTTGACTGCAACCTAACACTCACCTGAGCTGCAGCCTGATCGTGGGCGCCTCCCAGAAGCATGGAGAGGCTGGCGGCCAGCCCGCAGGGAGAGAAGAAGACGTCGCTGTCAACATGGTCGTAAACCAGTCTCTTGAAGACCTCCACGGGAAATCGCAGGCTGCCCACTGCTCTTTCTCCCGACGAGGTCAACGAGTGGCTGGAAGCCTTCCTCTCGAGCCCCAGGTACTCGCGCATTACCGATAACATCGCTGGAGTTCTTGTGAATGGTAATTTCAGGAAGCCTCTGGAAGGCCGCGAAGAAATTTCGCGGTCAGGCGGTCAGGCGCTGGGCTGCTGGGCTTCTGGAGGTTGTTTGGAAAGACCGCTGGAAAGACAACGAACGAGTACGCGAGAGAGGGCTCGTGAAACAGCAATTGGACTGGATTGGATTGGATTTCTCTTTTGGCTTCCCCTTTGTAGCTGGTGACTATGGAACTTCGGATTCTGGACCTAGCCAGTGGGCTTCTCTGCCGCTTTAACTTTTGCTCTGTCTTCCACCTTTGGCTAGAGTGTGATCACAGCCTCCTATATAGGCTTATGTTGGAGGCTCGAGACCAGTAGGCTCTGCTTGGGCTTGCTCTTGGACCTTGAAAACATTGTTCTCAGTTATCTGAGGAGAAGCTTTATCCGAAGTCACAAGAAACGTCTTTCTGTCCTCCAGGAGTGTTAAAACTGTCTGCCACAAAGCAAACCGACATCGCTCGATCTTCCCAACACCGCATTTTAACACTAAAGATATCGCATATTTCAATATGCTCCGATCGCCAACGAGTCTGCTCTGCACGAAGCAAAAAAATGGTGGCGCTCCCCACAAGCAAATTTGGATATGAAGCGCCGACACTCTAGACGTGGTTGATTTGGCTGTTCTAGGGCACCCTAGTTTTGTTATTTTGCTGTTATATCAAACCAAACAGAATTATTTTTTTTTTTTTTGAGTCCGTCGTTTTTTTTTTTGCGACACCGACAAACCAGGTGTTTTGTGAAGTGAAACGTCTGTGCATGGCACCTTCAAGACAGCAGTGGCACCACTGCGGCGTGACGTCACGGTCGCCTATTAAATCAGTCAATCAATCAATCAATGTTTATTTCAGCTTACAACACTAACTGATGGTGGCGAGAAAAAAAGCAGTATCGTTTACTGCTGGACGGGCCTCGCCACTCTTACAAGCCACCCAGGGTACCTCAAGTTTCGCTAATGAAGTTTATCATAATTAGTATTATTATAATTAATATTATTATTATGAATACATTATTTTGCATTAATTTCGTGCGTGCAGCAACCATATTTCCTTCAAAGAACACAAAAAAGATAAGTTCGGATTTTGTTTATATTACGTTGCTAAAAACGTCGTGGAAGCACACCATGAGCACGCACTAGGCAGCAACAACAATAAGTTGACTTGGCTCTCGAGATTTATGTTCTGCCTCCATCCCTCCCCTAATTATTTTTATTTACTTTTTTATGCCGTTCAGTAAAGTTTATGAAAGCACCACGTAAAATCGACGTGGTAAAGGACTATAGACTCAACCGGCTATAGGAGGTATTCACTGGACGCCATATTTGAGGGCGATGTTTAGAGCGCATGATCAGAACGAGCTCACATTAATAGCCTGCTAAGATGGCTAAGACCGACAACCTTGATGGTGCTAAATGCACGCTCCAAAGGGACTGCGGAAGCTCGCCGTCAACACGCGCTCAGCAGCAGCGCACACCGACCGACAACAGCAAAAAAAAAGGAGGTTACCGCGGTACCGCCATATGCGAATCACAAACCAGTAGAAGAAAAAGAAGGAAAAACGCTCGCGCACGTCTGTCAGAGGGTCGGAGTTGAGGGTGGTCCTGCTGCAGTCTGGGCGTCTGGGCAGATGGAGCGACAAGACCACGGCTAGTCAGGCGCCATCGTAGCTACTGCTAAAGGCAGTCCCAGAACGTACTCTGGAACATGCTGCTGGTCGCTACTGCTGGTAGTTGGTCTTGGTAGAAGCTCCTGGTGACCGTGCGCGGTAACCATGCCCGAAGACGCGTAATCTGGAAAGGCGTCGACAGATTCGCTCGGCGTAAGTCTCCATTTTAACCGGAATTAACTATCTTTGATTCGGTTTCTTCTGCTGTTTAGTATTGCTGGGTGAAACTTCAGAGCAGGTGAATGAGGTGTTAAGAGACAAGGTGCCTACGGGTCAGAACGGAATAGCAAATCCGTCGGCTATGATGACATATACCATCGTGTTTAGGCATTCGCACCCTGTCAATTTTCCTCCCTGGTTAGCTGTTTGTCAGAAACGTCAGACACAGCGATTGTCTTCAATTATAGAAGAAAAGGCGCCGTGGCTTTGCTAGGGTATTCACTGGTCCCCGCAGTTGAAAGCACTGTTCACAGTGCATGGCAAGATCGCATGGTTGTTGTCCTTCTCTTAAATAAAGCGCTGTGGGAACTCGTAATCAGTATGCGCTCAGCACCAATCTGATACTCTTTATTACATTTAATTTTCTCAACCCTCGAGGAATTCGTCGCCAAAATAATTTCTAGGCGCAAAGATCCTCAGGAGACAAATCTGAACTGGGTGCAACCACATGGTCTTTTGTAGGATGGTGTCGACTTATGAGGTGACGTTTTAACAACCCAATAAAAAAAGTAACTACAAAGAGAAAGATTTCCTTAACGTACAAGCAAAACGCCATACTGAACGCGCTTTCAGGGTTTAACCTGTCCTCTTCTGCAGCTTGTTCTTAGTCCTAAAATAGATGATTACATTCCCGTTAAGAATGTAATGTTGTTTTTCGTTGTTTTTTAAGGATTATGTTGGGTGTTGCCGAGGCCTTCAAGGTGATACGGCAGCTTCTGACTCGCTTTTCAAATCTCGATCTCCGTGCTTCGAGGTCAGCTTGTTCTTTTTGCACATATTAGAAACTAAAAGCTTGGATTCCTGCCAATATGCTCCACCCAAAAAAAAAAAAAAAAAGAACGCTAGATTTTTAGAGGAAGTCTCTAACTCCCAGCACACCTCTGAGTGTGCTGGGAGTTAGAGATATGAAGACGCCACTATGGTCATCGACAACCTAAGAAGCGCAGAGCGTGGCCAGTCCCGTGCATCTCATTATTGATCATCGGCCAATGCAATTGCAACATTACCCGATAAGAGCGCCGAAGAACCAATCACGTAGCAAGAGGCACGAACATGGTAAGTCACACTCTGCGTTCCTGAAGCCGTCAGAATCTGCAATGAATGTGCCAGGGAGTAAAGGCCGGTTCACACAGCACCATTTTCTTACGTTTTCCTTACATTACGTAGGAGTCACCGAAACTTCGGTGTCTCAAACGGCGCCCGCCAGGCGGCCATCATCTTGGTCCGGTAGCACCGCTTGATATAAAGCGCAGATCCCGATGACTTGTGGCGTAAGCAGACGTAAACTTTCTTAACGTAACGTGAGAAAAGAGGGCTGCGTGAACTAAAGTCACCGACCCTGGGAAAGTAGCGCCATTACCTTCCTCGCCTGCGTGCCGGACACAAACCGTTACTAACTTACGGGCGATCAAACCTCGCAAGGTGAGATTGGCTCATCGGTCTCAATTGAGGGGTGGCAATCACCGTTTCGGTCCTATCAAAGCTTGGAAGCTTCCAAAGGGTTGTTTTGAACCGGTCGCACCGAGGTCGCCGTGGAGCGATCATCGTACTGAAGCCGTTCCTCGCCAATATAGGCGTCTTGCACGCTGTGCGTGCAATCCACTTATCAGTCATGCTTATC